CTTCCAGTTCTGAAATTCGCTTCTGAGATTTAAGTCACAGAAAGGAAGAGAAGGAAAATAAAACAGAGCATTTTTCACCTGATAGTGCAAAAATAAAAATCATGATTTTGTGTGCTGCAAACACGTAAATAAATATTAAAGCTTTCCTGCATTTAAACCGCATTTGGAATATCCTAAGCCATTAGTTAAAATGACAGAAGAATACAGCTACCTGAAGCCTATGTAAAGAATCTCTCTTTAACAGGCTTTTAAAGATTGCAAGCCAGAGCATCTAAAAAGCACATCCCTGAATAATTTAAGGCTCCTGGCATCTACATTGAAAGAGCTCCTTTGCTAAACCTGGAGGAAAAAAAAAACAAGGTAAGAGAAAGAATAAAGGTCGTGAAAGATCAGCGACAAAATCACTACTAAAAAAGTATTTTTCCTATCTTAAAGTTTAATCAGACATGGAGGAGCAAGGATTTTACAGCCAGCCCTTCCCATTTACTGTCAACAGCTGTGGTCCAACATTAACATTTACCCTTTGGCAGTGTTAAGGCTGTGATGGTCAGGGAAACAATACAGGAACAAAATGAAAGAGAAGGAAGGAAACCGATCAAGAAGGTGAAGCACAGCACAAATCCTCATTAGCAGAAATTCAATAACAAATAAAAAGCAAAAAGCTAGAGTTTATCATGAATTTTAAACAGGTAACCTATATTTTAGGGCAAAAGAAGAAAGAGGAAAAAAAAAAACAAACTCTGGAAGAACAGACCAATGTAAATACATATTATTAAAACAAAACAAAACACGATTATGCTATTAAGACACCAGGCAATCTGGTTTGGTGCAGGGTAATCCCCATTTATAACCAATTGTACCAAGGTCAAATTACAAATCAGTGTATTGTTGACAATACCAAGTTTTCTCTGCCAGCTACATCCTTTAAATTTCAGCAAATCCTACCTACTTCCTCTTGTGTCTGTTACAGAAACCATCCAAACAATGGGAGCAAGCAATCTTCACCTCAACAGCTATTGACTTTGAGCTAACTGAACACTTCATTCATTTTTACTCCTAGACTGGAAAGTCCTTGCTGTTCTACAGTACCTGAAAGCCTCGCCACTGATTACAACCAGTTCAGGATCCGGCTCCTCCTCAGTATATGAAAATGGACTTGAAACAATAGGAAACCTTATCTGAGGAAGTTAACACAGGTCACCCTTTTCCAACACGTGAATACTGACTTTATACACTTCACATGGACAGAAAAACAGCTTAACTAAGTCTTATGAATTAGATAAGAATTTGGAAAAAGTGTCGCATACAGAATGCTGATTTTAAGGAAAAAAAAAATTCACCTTTTTGGAGAAACAGATTTTGCATTTTTGCTTTACACAACTTTTCATCACGTAATTGCTAAAAGGAGTCATTAGGAAGTCACTTGACTATATAGCAAACAGGTCAGCTGAAGCGTAGAAGCAGATTCAGAATGGGGCAAAACCAACATGCCTAACAGAATTTCCAAGTAAATGCCTGTAAAAGTGATTCCTCTCTCTTTTTGTGGAATTTTTATTTCTTGTGAGAATGGAAATGAAAGAGTAAGAAAATTACACTATTTAATATGCAATTGCGATATTTTTCCAGTGTAATTGCAAGCTGAAAAGAATCTTTTTGATACATATTTTTCTCCCTTAGAACTCAAACAGTTCAGTCACTGCAGAAAGCAGAAGGTTATGAGAAACTAAACCGCGACTTGTTTTTCAAATGTCATCTGAACAGGCCAGTTGTTATCTACTCTTCATTCCACTCACTCTGAGCTAAACTACAAAAATGTTCTTTGTGATAGGTATTCAAAGTTAAAAAAATATTTAATAAAAAGGTAATACAAGATGGACAAGACGGGGCTTTGGATGCTGTGACAAAAAAGAAAGGTTTGGAAGTGCAGAAATTTCTAAGATTATTATGGTAGGAAGGACCTCTTTCCAGAAGACATAATGGAGTAACAAAATAAATGCAACTTTAAACAGGTAAACTGAAGTTTAAAGCATTAAGGGGAAGCTTGACATGCTGGATCCTTAGCTAGTAGAAATACGCGTAATTCCAGTAACGTCAATAATATCACATGAAGTTATGCTAGCTGTTGATCTCACTCATAATATCTAAAGCCCACACCTAACTATAAATATATATATTATGTTTGCTTTTTGAAAACTGATTGAAGTTTAATAGCAACTCATAATTGAAATATTCATGGTCCCAAGCTAGCTTTGAAGTTAAATCCCTAAGTGGATAAAGTGGACTGTATATCTAATCTCAACTAAATGTTTCCCTTAGTTACTAATACCAGTGCAGTTTCACTAGTTAAAATCATTATTACAGAACAGAAACGCAAAACCCGCAGCATTTTAAGGGGCATTTAATCCTGCTCAACGCTAGGACACAGCACATGTTCTTGGCAGTATCAGTTCCGCCACTACCTTCCGCATCTTTGCTTCAAGAGTTGACTGACTTGGTGATTTCTAGGCAAGAAAGTTTTAACCACAGCTTTCCAGCACTGCTACTGTTACTGAAGTTTCTTACAACTCCTTTCAATGACACAAGTTTCAATTTAAGACCACAAGTCTACCTCAGTTTTAAAGCCCGTTTCTCAAACAATGAAGCTAGAAATGTCACTAATTTTTGTACCTGGACTGCAGACTGTAACTGTTGCAGTGGAAAACTTCAGTTTTCTTTACATATTCTGCAGGACACACACACACACACACACACACACACACCCCCCCTACCTATATACAGCTCCATAAATGAAATTTGTGCTGCAAATTTAAATGAGGTGGCTGACCACAGTTTGGTTGCCCCTGAACTAGGAAGTGGCTGTGACCTTCTTCACTGGTTTACACTTCTGTCCTTCAACATTTTCGGCTCAATTAAGTAAGTGTATTAAACACTGAACCTATGAAAGCTTGCCCATCCTCTCCCATATTTAAAAAAAAAAAAAAGTAAAAAAAAAAAAAAATAAGCCAAGTGGTCCGGCCAGGTTGCTGCCAGTAACAGGGTGAGCACTGTACAGTCTTATAGATTATATATAGTAAGTCATTATAATAGCGTTTGAAGGCAGGTTTGAATCCTAGAGAAAACAGTCACAATTGTGCTACTTCTGCAGCAGTAATTTCCCCATGGCTTTGGTTATGTTGATCTCCGTTCCTATTTCACAGAGCCCACAGCTACATACATTATATCCAAGTATATGTCTGAAACTCCATAACCTTTGCCAGAGTAACTCTCCAGGAAGCTCTCCTGACCTTTACTTAAGATAAAGAAACCAACTGAAATGAAGAAATAAATGTTCCTTTGATAATACTGTGTAAGCTGTGGCTAACAGCATTAATAAAATAGCTACATTAGGAGAATTTCTTTATCACCAAAAGCAGTGACCAGCTTCAATGGAGCTTTTCATTCACAGTTCACAAATTATTTTCCAAGAATCATTGACTTGTTGTGTAACGATAATTGTGGGTTAATAGAAGCCCTAACTGAACTTTGTACTCTTACACAAAGGACGTATGCATACATGACTATATTTGGACACAGCTCCATATGTAGGATTATGTATCTGATTTTCAACTTATAGAATAGTTTTGGCTTTCATATTATAATTTAATTTAAAAAAAAAAAAAGTCTTTGAAGCCGGAGGTGAAAAAAAAAAAAACAACAACAACCTGTTACAAAGGGCAACTTTAAAAGTGACCATGATTGTTGGTTGGTATATGTACAGGAACTTCTAGAGAAAAATAAAAATAAATTGTTGCTATGCAGGTATACTATCAGAGTCCAGCGGACGAAACCCTCTTTTTTTTTCCCCCCTACAAAATGTTGTTATGAATACTCTTACTAAATTCTTCTTAAAACAGCTTCTAAATAACTGAAAAAAATCCACTAAAATATTTATAAGAAAACTCAACAAGTCTGAATTTGGTTTTTTGGGTTAAAGACTGTTTTAATGCAATTCCTTCTAATCTCACTAATTTTAATCCTAACGTTTCAGTACATGAATGCTGTATTTAACAGCTATCTGGTTTAGTGAACTGCAGTAATTCACTCTGATAGGATAAATTATTTAAGTTATTTAGCAAAACGGAAAAGCTACCATGCGCTCTGCGGCAATCGGCAGACACTGTTTAGAAGAGACCTCTGATGATGGAGAGAAGCCTTGCCATGAGGAAGAAAGATGCAGAAAGAAGCTGCAAGAAGTCTGTGACTTTGTCAGATAATGTTTCTCATGCCATTTCTTTACTACGCCCTTGCAACCACCCAAAACCACAGAACAGCAGGTACAGCGAAGGGGAGTCAGCGTTTAACAGAACAGTAGCTCTTTAGCAGGCAAAGGCAAGATTTGAGGGGTACAGGCTAAAAAAAAAATAAGTTTGGGCACAGGTTAAGTAAAGTAGCAAACAATGCAAAGCATCCAGCTTAACATAACTCCTGCTTCCTCCCATTAATTCAAAGGGAAATTTCATTTGAGCAACAAAATGTCACATGCTAAGACGACTTAAAAACGCTTCAGCAGTGGCTACATTTGATGTATTATGTGGAGAATTTTGTTTATTTATTTATACACAAAATGCACTGGGCAGCCTGATTTCTGCTCAGCAGAGCTGCCTCCTATGTCCCATAGTATCTGATCCGTACTGGCTCAACACGCTCCTCTCCTCACTCTACAGACAGAGAAACTCCCTCCACCCCCACAAAGTGAGTTTTTCCTTGCTTCCTTGGGGCTGGCTGGGTGGGAATTACAGGAGAGGGCCCCCTGCTAAAGGTTATACCTTCAGCCCAAACAACTTCGTTTGGCTGCACATCAAAACGCCACTTGCTTTATCTATTCACTGCGCTGATGTCACTGACCAGCGAAAGGAGCTATCACATGACTGCAGATGACACAATAAATAACAAATATGAAGACCCAAATATAAATATACAGTACATATTTTTAAGAAAGTGATGATTCATACTATACTTACAACTTTCAGCCTGATAGTCTGGCACAAACTGCTCGTCATTGTCAGGTACCTGAGCTGAAGAAAGGAAAACAAAAACAAAAAAAAAACCAAACAAAAAAAAACAAAAACAAGGAAAGAATTAAAAGAAGCCAGTAAAGCATAAATAAAGACTCTTGTGCTTAATTTGAAGCACAGCCAAGATTAAAACTCGGATTTTTTTTTTCATTGTTGGGTATGAAAATCAGGCAAGCGCATCATTTTAATATGAGATAAACCCTGGGGTGAAGCTGTGCGGTGCAGTGCGAGTCCAGAGCAGCCCCAGTACAGAGCAATGGGGATGGGAGGACGTGAAAACTGACACTGGCACTGGCCCTGCCTCACTCCCTGCACGAGGGTCTGGACCTACCATGCCACTGGTAAAACCCATCAGCGCTCATTTTCAACACACCTACACGGAAAGTCTGCATAAAACCAAATCCTAGTGCTTAACACTTAAGCATCTTTAACCCCGAACTACCACACCTTTGGCTTACTTAAAAGCGATTCCAATTTTTCATTGCAGTCAGCCAACACAGTAGGGGGGGTTTATTACTGTTTTAAATACTCAAAAAAGACTATTTTACCAGACCACAGAATTCCTGGTTCAATGACAAAATTTCAGACATAAAAAAAAAAAGATTTACTTAAAGCAAGCATCATTATTAACATCCATTCACCTTGTGTAAGATCATCTTTGCTTTTAGGAAACTTTCATCACAAGCCTGAGCTACAAAATACAATCGTTTCACAGTCTACTGATACATAATTTTGCGTCTGTGGTACCACAGTTCCTTTTCATTGTGTATCTAAGACATTAGCCATCTCATACTGTGTTGTAAACTCATTTAAACCATTTAAGCTGAAATACCACTGAATGTATATTATAGGTGAAATACATTCAAAGAACTGCAGAACATTACGCTGAGAAGCAGCATCCTCGGAGAACGACTGGTTCTGGGTACATCCCGAGAGAGATCCAGCTTAACGTCCCTGAACTTTGCCATCTTGTCCTCAACCTACACTAACTAGAATCATCACAGCAAAGCTGCATAAAATTATCTGTTTGAAAATATTTCAATTTACACAGTTCTTGTCTAAACACGAGCAAATAATTCACATGATCTTAATTAAAAGTTAACATCTGCCATGATCTGGTTACCCAACAAGATTTGAGAGGTAAATACTGGTTACATAATCATTTATCGAAACAGTGACTATCACACCATTAAATACGTTAAATGGTAAAATACAGCTTTATTGCCATTCAGAACACTTTCTAAGTTTAGGAAGCATATGCTCCCCTTTATAGATGTGCAATTGCTACTAGTTTTAACAGAATTTGTTTGAATTAAAAATACGTATTTAATTATAATTACTCACAATTATTTTGAACGTGCACTACAGTACTCTTCATGGACCAGATCTCCACTCCTTACTCAGGAAATATTTCTAATGACTTAACTGAGAGGTTTTTTCCTGGGTAAAGAGTTCAGAATCATGCTCATTATACCAAAAAATTATTTGCTCTCGGTTTTAAAATAAATGTTTAAAGTCCTACTGTTTTAATTGCAGCAAATACCCCTTAAGAACAAATGACCTTGGGAAATCTGCAAACATGGGTTTGAAAAGAAGTGTGAGTAAGAGAAATACATGAAGTGTCATTAGCATTACTCCGAAAAAAAGCATAGCTATTGTTGCTTTGTTGTTCTATTTTTTTAATAACCTATCTTTTTAGAAGAAACCAGTACCTCTGAGGACGTGTTAGCTCCTCAAAGTTTGAAGCTGTATAAAACACGTATTTTAACTAAACCAAATATTCCCAGAATTTCTGATGCATTAATTTTTTCTTTCCTCCAGAGAAATCACAGGACTTTTACCAGAAATTAACTCAGGGACAATATGAGCCCAAATACTAACACTCTGCAATTTCTGACATTTCATGCAATTCACTGCATGTGAATGTTGGGCATTTTCTTACAAAAATGCCAAATATTTGACTGTCACAGAAGAATCCAATTATGAAATCAAGGTATCCTACTTAAAAATCAGTTCCTAAGGATTTCTTACATTTCCAATTGTTTTTGAAGGGTTTGTGGGTACATTCAGAGTTAAAGTAATTATATCAAGTAATTTCTTGTTTACAGAAGACACATCCCACACATTTTTCTTAAGCCAGCTATCATTTTCAAATGCAGCAAGGAGGCTAGTATGACTCTAATTTTTTATGCACACACATGCATTTTTAATATATACATACATATGTGTATGTATGTATGTTAATTTGTGAATCCGGGATATCTGAAAAAGGCTAAAAGAAAACAA